AACCCCAAAACCCCAAAACCCCAAAACCCCAAAACCCCAAAACCCCAATTCATAATTTAAAATTGAAATTTCATAAACAGAAATTTCTTGTATTTAAATCTAAACCTAGTTAGCTTGATCAAATAGAGTTTCTTTGAACCTGTTTGTGAACATTGTTAAAAATCCTGAATTTGAGAGGAAAGAGACATGAGCTTTTCTCCCAATCATACTATCAATCGACTTATTACTTATGCTGAAATTTACCTAAATAATTAGTTAAAACAAGAATTTTGATTTTCCTTACATCTACTCTGGTTACGGTGGTATGATCTCAGTCTAAAGGTTATAGCAAGAATCTACCTCTAAATATATTACTTGCCATTTCTCTATATTTCATCTCTCTTATCGGATCGTAAAGTGTAGTATTCTTGAAAATTTGAATCCTTGAAGAGTCAAAAGTCACATATCCGTCCTGAATACTGCTGAAAAGCATGACATGTTTAAACCATTTTAGACCCTTTTTCTTTGAGAGTTTATACATAAAAGTATCTTCTATATCTTTAGCATCTGTCATGGATAGCTGCTCTATTGATCACTGCCTTTTCCATGTTTGAAAAGCCCAGAGACCAACATTAATCAACTTGTTGTTACAAGCAGCATACCCTAAATGAGGGGAAGAAAGTGTACAAAGACCATGGAACATGTGTTTGAACTTCTCAAGATGAGGAAGAGCTGATCTAATGATCACTCCTCCCATTGAATGTCCGATAAAGCTAATTTTTGTGACTTCGTGTCCACAATCCTCCTCATCATCGAAGAAGTCGAAGACTTCTCCTGCTAGATTTCTTCCTGATTCGATAAGTCATCCTTCTGTGCGAACTCCTTCATTAGATTCTGAACATAGAAAAATTGAGTTTGGGACAATCATTGCAATATGGTTCTTAATCTCCTGCATATCTATATGAGTAGCTTGGAATCCATGAGCAAGGACAAATAAATGGAGCCCATCTTTATATAGCCTTTTCTTAGTAGCTCTGGTTACACTAGGAAATTCAGTCTTGTGCTCCTCCATTGTAAATATTTCCTCTATCATCACTGGAGTCGTATCATGAGTGAGATTTGTAAGATCTTCGATCGGTGGATCTTCAATTAGTTCTTCATAAATATTAGATCTTCGTTTCTCAGCCATAATTTTGTAAAGCTCCTTGCTATCGTTTTCACTGTTTATTACAAAATCTGAAGTTGAAATATGACTACGGAAGACACTATCTTCAACCTTTTCTTTGAGCCTTTGGCAGTATTTCTCTCTGAAATGTTCTCTAATCTCTTCAGGGGCTGAACCAAGTAGCATCATGAGATCATAGTTACACTGCAAGATTTGTCCAGCAAGAATTCTGAATTCATTTTCTATATTTTTAATCAAAGTATTTGGATTTTTAGTGTAGATATACTTCACAAAGGCCTCTTTTAGATCTGTATAGTTCAGGTAGAATTCTTTAAAAGATTCATGACTGGAATAAATTTTCTGTACACAGCCGAATTCTTCGCCTACATCACAATTACCTTCTTCATCAGAGTCTTCGCCAAGATCTGCTTGTTCCTTCTCTACGTATGAATTCTCCTTATCCTCAATTTTATCCTCTTCTTTAGTGAATCTTTTCCAAGAATTATGGCCTCAGAACTCGAGGTTTTCACAGTTTTTCTCAATTTTGAAGTGAGCTCCAGCTTTGTTAGAGATGCTTTCTCGTTCTTCACTCAGGACAGTTTCATACATCCGTTTGAGATTCTCCCAATTGAGGATTAAGGGAGATATGAACGTATCGAAGATGTATTCCAGAGTTTTCTTGTTGTATTTTACTACATAGAAGTCACCCTCGCTACTGAATAAGTAGTCCTTTAGAGAGTCTGGTCTAAAAGAATAATCCTGCATCATTTTATCAGCCTCATCTGCAGTTAGTTTCCTTTCGGTTTCAATATATATCCCATTCTCTTCAAAATCTTTGTCGATATCTAAGACTGCAAGGCAGCTATCTCTCCATTTAAAATCGATGAGAGCAGTGTGGAGGAGTCCGTGGGCCACACTAAAGTAAACTCCTTTAAATGTAGTCGGGAGGTATTTTGTAATTCCATTTAGAGCCCCTGAAATCTTGAATTCTTGAGTACTGACAACTTTAAAGTCATTCCTTCTTTCTTGGACAAACTTCCTCATAAACTTTGACCCAACAGACGAGGTAAACTTATACCGTAAGAAGCAGAGGTTAGTTTCAATGTAAAATTTAGTATCAAGGTAACTTCCTTCCTTATCTGTGTCGACTTCCGCCCTAAACTGTCAGACTTCGTTCATAGGGATTTCTTCATGCCTGTACCTAATACAGAAAGACCTGGTTTTAAAAATGGGTTGGTTTTCAAGAATCTCACTGGGCTGGAGGTTTCTCATTCCCTTGCCTTTATCCTCAGAATAGATAAATGGAATGTTGGCATAAGGAGTAGCGTAAATCTTCTTGTTCTCTTTGTAGTAGTATATCTCATATGTGAGGAAATAAATTCCTTGCTGGAACATGCCTACATTCCTGAAGGAGTCCATGCTAAAGGAGAATTCTACTATTGCTCTATAAGACATTTCTGATTGTCGTTAGATTTAATTTTATTATTGTCAAATTACTCAGACTTTTGTGGGGTTTTGGGGTTTTGGGGTTTTGGGGTTTTGGGGTTTTGGGG